ATATATATATATATACATATACATATACATATATATATATACATATATATACATATACATATACATATACATATATATATATATATATGTATATGTATATAGTCAGTCAGCTCATATTTTGAAGGCAGCAGGAAGTGATGTCACTAATATTAAACTACTTTAATGTCACCAAATATGTCAACAATCATTAATATTCATGTTTATTTATCAGCAGACAAAGTGTTGATGTGTCACTTTAAACTGTGTGATCAGGTGACAAGAGTTATTATTATTATTACAGTTATTAAATATCCCCCCCCCCTCTCTCTCTCTCTCTGGTATCTGGTTCAGTTTAAACTCTCAGTAGAAACACAAAGTGAACTCAGCAGCTCCTGAGATGCTGCTCCGGTTTTAAATCTCTTCTTCTTCTTCTTCATCATCCTCTACCTCTACCTCCTCCTTCTCCTCTTCCTCCTTCTCCTCCTCCTCTTCGTCCTTCTCCTCCTCCTCCCATCCCGTCTCGGTGAAACACGCGCCCGGTGTGTCCGGTGTGAGTTGGTCCGTGCGTAATAGTCGGGCTCGGTGCGCACCGTCATGTCGTTTCCTCAGGGTTTCCTCTTCCAGCCGTCCTCCGTGTCTCTGGCTCTGCACTCGTGCCCGTCCTTCGGGTCCGGGGTCCTCTTAGGACCGAGGACGGAGGAGCTGGGTCGGTCCTCTTCGCGATCAGCCTTCGCTCCGTACTCTGGATCCGGGACTTCTACGGGATTCAGCTCCCAACTTTCGAACCTCCCGTATGGCAGCGAGCCCCGGGCCGCTGCGACCCTCAGCTCCTTTGTGGTGAGTGTCAGGACCGGAGCGGACCGGACCGGTACAGCTGGACCGGGTATGGGACTCTAGTGATAAAGAGAAGCTTCACCGTCTGAGTTCTAATAACGGATCCGGATCATTTATTGAGCCTCTTTATGACTTTTATTTTGTACATTTAGGTGAAAATATCACAAACAAAACTCAGATTTATTTGAATGTAATTGAACTTGAATGGTTTAGTTGATGTCGCTCCTTATCTTTTAAAACCTTTTCTGGAATAAATTAAATTTGTTTAAGAATAAAATAAAAATAATTAGAGAGATTTGAATAAATGTTTATTGATAATTTATTCAAGGATGACCTGAAACAATAGAATCTAAACTAATAATGAAAATCAATGTTTCAGCTTTAATTCAAACAAAGTGATTTAAATATTATAATGATTTAAATATAAACAGAAGAAATGTTATATATACGTAATAATAATAATAATAATAATGATAATAATAATGATTATAATAATAATAATAATGATATTAGTGATGATGATGACATTAGGTGAATTAAAGGAGGTTTCTCTCCTCCTGCTTCTGGATGAACAGCTTCTGTGTGTAAATTAAATTCTGTTTGTGTGTTTTAATTAAAGCGTTATTTAGCCGGTTCATCTCATTAAGACTCAGATTAGGATTCAGATTAAGATTCAGATTAAGAGGGATCAGATGACCTTATGAGACCTTTCTAACGTCCCGTCTTGGTGTTCCAGAGTCCGGGCTACGACCCGTCCTCCTTGGACTACCACCCGTTCGGGGCCCTGGGCCCCTACGCTTACGGGGACGTGTCCTACAGGAAGAACGCCACGCGGGACGCCACGGCCACGCTGAAGGCCTGGCTCAACGAGCACCGCAAGAACCCCTACCCCACCAAGGGAGAGAAGATCATGCTGGCCATCATCACCAAGATGACGCTCACGCAGGTCTCCACCTGGTTCGCCAACGCACGCCGGAGGCTGAAGAAGGAGAACAAGATGACCTGGACCCCCCGGACCCGGAGCGAGGACGAGGAGGAAGAGGACAACATCGACCTGGAGAGGACCGACGAGGACGAGGAGCCCCTTAAGGCCCACGAGGAGCCCCAGACCGGGACCCAGACCGGTGAGTGGAAGGAGTCACCGGAGCTCTGATCAATCAATCCTTTAGTCAATCAATCAATACTTCAAATCATTCTTTATATGGTTTCATCAGGAAATAGATGGTCCTTCAATCATTGCTTCTGTTATCCATCTGTCATCTTCCTGAAGTACAATATGTAAAGATTAAATATTCAGTGAACTTCTGATCGTTGGTTGAACAAAACTAAACATGTTAGAAGTATTACGCAATAAAATATTACATTCAAATAAAAAACAGCCGTCAGATAAATGACAAGAAAGAAGTATGACGAAGAAATACTCCAGTAAAGTACTTCAT